AACGTAAAAAAAATTTTCACCCCCGAGATGGGGTGGCAACCACCCCTAAGGCTTTGGCGCACTTTGGTTCGATATAGATTTTGATCCTTGGCTATTACCTACCTTCTGTTAAAATTTCAAGTCAATCCACGCAGGACGAAAAAATTGCGAGGTGAAATGCTTCATTTCCTGGACTATAAGTGGTTTGACAGCATAATAAAATCGTAGATTTATGTGTAGCTTTCAATTTTTATGATTTCAGAATCCAGCAGCCCGCTGAAGTATTGGATTTTTATAATATAATTATTTGACAACCTTTTGTTGGTCAACCACCTACAGCAGAATTGAGCCGAAATACATAATATTTCGTATGTTCCGAATTTATTTCGTTCAATCTGTATATATATATATATATATATATATATATATATATATATGTATATAAGAAAGGTTTGGTGCTGTAGAAATGCAAAAAAAATGAGTCAGTTTATGCGCTCGGCTTATAAGTTCAAACCTATAATAATTACTTCAATTTCTAAAAGTGGCATCTTTTCCTGTACAATGTATTGTGTAAACATTTTTGTTTGTTTTGTGTAGTTTGTTTTGTTTGATTTGTTTTGAGTTTCTCCCGTTTAAATTGTTTCAGATACTATACTGTATAGGATCATTCACGCAACAATTATTTCGTTTAAAGCTTTATTTTATTTTAAATGGAATGTTGGAATTTTGTGAGTCATTTGGTAGTAATATTATAAAATTGTATCATTGATAACATGTTTATTACTATTTTTTTATTTAATATTAATTTACAATTTGTCTATACATCGATTTTTGATCTACTATGTATGCACTGACCACACAATTTAGAACGTTTTCATAATCTATTTCTTTTAATGTATGTTACGGCGGTTCGTATGGATGATATAAACCGTAGTTTTTAATTGGAATACAATTTTCTTAATAACGATTGTTGATAGTGTTAAAAATAAAGGTATTTCTGTACTCTTCATAAAGTTCATATTTTTAGACAAACTGTTTATACGACTGGAAAAAAATATCTAATGATTGTAGTTTAGGTTTTAGAACATGCAGGACTTTATAAAGAATAACTTTTTTCATAAAAAAGTCCCATTTGGTACCGACTTCATTGGACAGACACACTGTATTTATAATATAGTCGCAAACCACAGTTGAACAAAAAAGTATTTATTTCAATATCCATTTATTTTACAAATCTTCATTTATATAATATTTACAAGTATTCTTCAATTAAATGTTGTCTTTTGTCCATGACTGAACACAAAGGATCGCAGCCACTGGATCCTCACTGAGCTGGCTTCTTTGTTTCCTCATGCCATAGTTTTGCCATGCCAAAGCATGTGTAAACGTATGCCAAAAATAGATCACTTGAGAAAGGCAATCAGTCGAAACAGCTGTAGTGATAAGAGGTTAAAATAAATTTAGTGGAAGTTTGAAAACAAAGTTTTCAGTGTTTTATTGTTACACGATATCATTTTGTTTTTAAAGTCATTTCCATTGTTTAATTAACGTTAAGAGCTGAAAATTAAACGGAGTCTAAATGAAGATCTAAAGTTTATGGTCCAAGTGATAGATGACATAAAAAGTGAAGGAGTAAACAATTATAACCTTTTAAAGTGAAATATTATATAAAAAAAGTATAACAAGTCTAGGAGATTGTAAAAAAATAAATAAATAATAATATGGGAATTTGAAAAATGCTTTGCGAAAAGAAACAAAGAGGCCGAATGCATGAGAGTGACCACTAAAATACTCAAGAATGGAATCGGCCAATTTGCATGTCTGTAAAAGACAGTAGAATATTGAACAAGACAACAACAAATTTAGGGAAATAAAAGTAACAATAAGGTGTGAAGAATCCTTACTGGAAGTAAATATTTGGGAGCCAGGAAAGTATAGAATAGACTTCGACGAGTTGTGACCTTTATTATGGAAACGAAATCCTTTGGGTTCCTATAAAAGAATAAAGAGGATACTAAAATAAAATATGTATGTGTATACAGTGCTAGTCAAAAGTCCGTTCCCCCCTTCGTATCTTTTGAACGGTTATACTTATAATAGTGAAATTTGGAGGGAGGTAATAAACAGACGTAGGCTTCTCAACTAGTCATAACAGGTGACGTAATAGTGACAGATGACGTTACAGCGCCACTGTGACAGATAATTTTAAATGGGACCTTATGGCAAGTGATACCTCGTTTGAAAGGTATTGAAAATACCTATTCAGTCATAATAATTTTATTTGAGTTTAAGCTCATTTTGATAAATAAATTAAATAAATACTAAAATTGTAGTTTCGCATTTAATTAATAAATATTAAAACCTGCGCCTCTGGTTACTTGTCAAAAAGTTGACGTTTTTCAATTCTCTAATTGTTTTTATGTCAACGTCAACTTTTTTGACAATTAACCAGAGGCGAACGTTAGAATATTTATTGATTAAATGCGAAACTACAATTATTTTATTATACCTATTCAATCATACTAATTTTGTTTGGATTTAAGATGCTTCTGACAAATAAATTAAATAAATAATAAAATTCTAATTTGACATTTAATTAATAAAAATTCTAACGTCAGCCTTTGGTTATTTCTCAAAAAAAGTTGACGTTTGTCAATTCTCTGGTTGTTATGGCGTTTATGGCCCAATATTTATTTTCTGTTTCTACTTAGTTTCGTCAATTCAAGTTTAGTCAAGTTGTTTTTAGTTAGTTGTTCTTAGTTAATATTTAGTTTAGTTAGTTTAGTTAATTATTCTTTACAAAGGTAGAATAGTATGTACTGTATCCGATAAAGTAGCAGCTGTATTACTAATTGGTGAATGTGGAAATAATTTCCATGCAGCGGAACGTCTTTTAAATGAGAGGTACCACGATCGCCCTATATCGAGATCTTATTTAAGAAAGCTTCTTCGGAAGTTTAAACAAACAGGTAGTGTTCAAGATGTCAAACAATCTGGTCGACCAACAATTAGTGATGACAAAAAAATTGACATAATATCAGAAATGGTAGTGAACCCTACTTCTTCTACAGCCCAAGTTGCATCTATCTATGAAATCAGTCAAAAGACTAGACCAAGTGTTGGCTGAAAACAAATTTCATCCATACAAATTAAAAATTGTGCACCAACTTTCAGATGATGACCCCGACCGAAGACTAGAATTCTGTGAAAATATTTCCACTAAAATTAACCAACAGCCCAATTACATAGAAACAATTTGTTTTAGTGACAAAATTACTTCTTCTCTCAATGGAAATGTTAACACACACAATGTGAGGTATTGGAGTGACACAAATCCTCACGTCTATTGTGAAACACATACTCAATTTCCAAAAAAAAAATAAATGATTGGGCAGGTATTTTGAGAAACCACAGAGTTGGGCCTGTTTTTCTCAATACTAACTTAACCGGTGGTATCTGGAGATGTTACAAAATGCAATTGAATCATTAATACTTGAAATTCTGGAGGAAAATCCAAATGAATTCGGCAACTTGGAAATAACGTTTCAACAAGATGGTGCTTCTGCATACCATTATGGTCCAGTAATGGTCCGGTAAAATAAGGATGCAACCTCGGAATGAAAGATAAGCTGAAAATTTGCATACGTCTTTATTTTGATGGTATAAAACTTACCTCAAAAGTCTCATATAATCACGTGTCCGCGACTTACTTAAGGTCAAAGGTCACGAAAATGAGTTTTCTGCAAATATCTCGTTTCCCTTACACTTTATGACATTTAAGGTGGTAAGAAAAATTGTAGAATGGAAAATTCTCTTCAATTTTTGTCTCAAGTACTTTTATGTACCTTCAACCCTTCTTAAGATAGAGCGCAAAGAGTGGGGGACCGCTTACCTGTGTATACGGTAACGCGAAGTCAGCCAGTAGGATTCAATAAATAATAAGTTATATAGTTAATTATTCACTTAAAATACTATTATTATCATTAAATTTTTATTATTTATTATTTAATAAACTATATTTATAGATATTAATTATAAAATATATATTTTTTATATAATATCTATTTTATTTTTAACAAACATACATCATCAAGTGCAGAGTTCAACAATAATCATTTTTATATTTAATTAAATACTGAAAAAATCATATTTATTATTTTTTTAAATTATATATTTATTTATTAATCCAATAATCGATTTATTAAAGTTACAAATATAATATATATTCTTTTATTATGTATAGTTAATATTTTTGTGTTAATTTTTTTCTTCATCGTCTTCTTCTTCTTCCTCTGACTGCTCAATATCGGATTCATCATCATCATTCTCGTTTATTAAAGTATCAGAATAAAAATATTCAAGAATATCAGGTGCATATTCACTTTCTTCATTGAAATCATCTGAAGTTGATGAAGCGTTTAGACATGATTGTCCATTACACTGCCCACAAATTAAAGTACATTGCAATCCTGATTTCCTGCATCCGCAATTAGAACCACAACCTTTCTTGCAATTGCAAAATATTGTATTCAGCAGTTCTTCTGGTGCTGGCGGTAATAATGTTGTTATTAGTTCCAGAAATTCATTTTGCATTACCCAGTCGAATTCTTGGGGTTCTAAATCATTTCCCAACCAAATTTGGGTCTGATAATACACACGAATGATACGCTGACGAGCTGCTGCACTTGAAGGTGGAAGACTTGATAACTGGACTGGTTTGTTGAGTCTTGTTGATTTGATGAACTGGGTGTATTGAAAAGAGTCCATATCGTCTTCTGATGTTGGAGCATTTTCAAATAATTCTGGTACAGAGCAGTTTTTTTGTTGAAATAGTTGAGGTGACTGATGTAAATGGTGATTTTTTTGGAACATTTTAATAAACGATATTTTACCTTTCCTATAAATCGCAGAAGTCGTATCACATCCACTAAACGCGTGTAAAAATAAGATGCGTTTCTTAGAATGAGGGTATTTATCAAAACTTTTCGATGAATATAATTTTGTCTCCGCATTAACCTTACCAATTAAAAAAAAATTCTTGTTGATGTGATTGAGCTCGTCCTATCAAGATAACTAGCAAATCAATATCTTCTCCTACAATGACGGAAGTTTTTCCTACATGTTCAGACTCTGCAATAGCTGTTTCTACAATGAGAACATCAGCATCATCTCTGGCTTGTTTTGTAGTGATATTAACAGCTTTTAATTTGTCGATAAGCATGTCTATAAAGATTTTTTTATTAGATGTGTTCGATAAAAATTGTTCTTGGCTGATAGGCACATTCATTGTTTCATCAAAACGGAGTTCGTAAGATTTTGAAATACCGGCAGTTCTTCTTAGTTGTTCCATTGCTTTAATGTTCTTAGTGTAGTCTGAGTAACCATCAAATACAACAACGATACTTGAGCCATAATGTGTTTGTAAATATCTGACGTATTTATGTAAAATATTACAGAAAGTATCATCTTTATTCCATACAACGCGGTGCAAAAGAAATCCACCATCGATAATATATGTTGTAGTGATTTCGTCCAGTTCAATATCAATAGGAGTCATACTTTTATATAGTGCTGATTTTGTTGTTTTTCTCATGCCATTATTATCAAATAAAGATGTTGGATACGGACTTAACTCATATTGTAGATATTCTTTTAGATTATTTTGGAATTTTTTGTTTGCTGTTATTCTCTGGAAGAGTAGTAATGGATCGATGGAAACTTTACAATTGTTAATTTTGACACAGTTATTAACCGCTGAAAGTGGTAGTACTTTGTTAACGCGTTTTAATTTTATCTCATTAAAGCTCAAACCAGTTATTTTCGCCATTGATTCGATGCAGATATCATACGCTCTATGACAATTTATTTGGTCACTGCCTATGATTCAAGAAGCTATAGATATCACCTGTTTTGTACTTTGAAAATGATTATGAAGAGTAAACCAATCTAGAAGTTTACTTACATCGCTATTATCTCTTTTCACTCGTGAATCTCTATTATCAACGTGTAGTTCTGAAGAATCCAAAGAAACGTTACAAAATTTTTCAATTTCCTCGCAGATTGTATTCGTAGCGTACATAGCATATACCCATTTACATAAAACACTTTCTTGTGTACTCCGACCCCGAGATATTCCTCCTTCTGTCTTCATAGATTTCATAAGACTTTGCTCTATTACCATGTCCGTCTATGTACCAGAGTTAAATTTTTCTGTTTGTTTAACCGTAAAGAATCCGTTCTTAAAATTCTCAAAAGTCTGTTCATCCATTGTTTCTTCTAATTTTATCATATCTTGGAGATATAAATGGGCTGATTTCGCATATTGAAAACGACCACTTGAGTGAAAATATGGAAGCATTTTTCGCACTGCATCAAGATGTTCTTTAAAATGTCCTAGCCTTTCAGCACGAACAAAGTCCAAAGCTATTAAAACCATTTCGAAATACTGTACCCATAACTGAGCTGTGGGACCTGCAGCTTTTAATTCAATTAATTTATTACGAGATTGAGCAATTATACTTGAATAATTAACACACCCTTCAACATATTCATAGGAAACATGGTGTCTAGTTATCTGTTCAACTAACTCATCTAAAACACAGCTTTCAATCTTCATGTCTTGAAAAATGATTGTTGATAATGCACGTCGTAACAGCGTATGACCTCTGATACTTCTTAAATAAGCGTGACCACTTAACATTTTTTCAACAGAATTTGGAGCATATATTGTACTTAAAACTGCTTTGAGTCCACTTCCGTCCATTACGTATCCTATGCATCCAAGAAATGACATAAGCATATGAAAGCCTCCTAATTTCATAACTATTTTGGATAAGTTTGAGCTTGTATCTGCCGCAGCAACCATTTCACGTGCTTTGGAGTACAAGGGTTGATCGAACGTTATCACACACGTTTTTTGTTTATCTGTCTTGGCAATATTTAAAGCGGACTGCAATGTGGTAAAAAGTGTAGTTAATTTACTTGGAGGATGATCAATAAATGGAAGGAACAAAATCCGAGAAGTTGAAAAATTCTTATTATTTTTTGTGAGTTCAAGATATCCATTCCATCCTGGTATCGGTGAGACATTGTTCCTTTTTTCATACAACCACAAAAAATCTATTGTATTTAATTGTTGTTGAGTTTGTACGAGTTCATCATGTAGATATTGAACTTGAATATTGCTGAATCCAGATACAACTGGATATGTTAAAAGACTGGATATGTTAATATTTTCATATGTTAAAAGAGGTACATCTGATACTTTTGCCAAATCTTTGGCAGTTGGTTTAGTTGTACACTTTTTTATACGTTCATCGTAAATGATAGCATTTTTTGGCGTAACTATTTTTTATCATTCCCATTACATGAAGCGTATTACTACCGTCAAGACTATTGACATTTATATTTGCATTATCCCCAACGTATTGTACAAGAGAGCCAGACTCTGATGCTAAAATACGAGGCTGCGAATGATAAACTGCTGAAATTTCATACTGTACTGTACTATTATATGAAAGACAAAACCCCAAGCTAGGCAAAACATCTAATAGTTTTTTAGATCCGTATCTCCTATGAAGAAATACAGATAGACCTAATAAGTAGCTGTGATGAAAATGATCGTTCTCGTAGCGAAGCCATTATAGCATGACTTATTGATGTGCATTTTGTCTTCAAATGATCAATTTTTCCTTTTCTATTTTTCATAATAACTTCTTGCAAAAAATATAATAAACTGTTCGGTATTTCTTCATTAATAGTATCTAGCATTTGATTTGGAGGTAGATAAGATTTTGTTTCAACTACAGATGATCGAATATCTTCCCTATAAATATTACCCTTATAATAATTACCCAGTAGCTTCTACTATTCGTAATCGTTCTTCTTCAGGTGAGCTTTTTTTATTATCGTACCAGGCTTTCGATAAAATATTCGCCCGTGTGCCACGGAAAGATATAATAGTGAATGATCCAACCTAAGTCGTAATTATTATATCAGTCAAATATTTCTCCCTCAATTTAGAAATTATTGTCTTGTCATCCGGTACGTACTCGGTAAGAATATCTTTCAGCTCTTTCAATGTAAATTGTGAATCATTATTATTTTCTATATACAAAAATCTCGTTCATGGCCTCTGTAACGTTATCATCTTTGTGATGCTTTTTATCTGTAGGTATTCGATTTAAAAACTGAGAGTAGCAAACAGCATGATATTTAGCATCAGCAGCTATCAAGTCATATTCAAAAAGTATACGATTTTTGACTAATTTTCCTAAAAAATCACCTCTTTCTTCTGCTTTCTTCAAAACGTTATCTTTAAAATCAAGAGTACTTACTTTACTGATGGTGCGTTTATATTTTTCTTTTTTCTTTTTTTCTATGGCTTCATCAGCTACTTGACTACAAAACAAGCAAGATGTTTTAAAATCAAATACTTCTTCTCGTTTCTTACGAGATGGACTTGCTGCAGTTGAAGTTTCATCCTCTTCTGCACGTCGCTTCGATGCAGCAATTGAATGTTTACTTATATACACTTTTCGACACTCAACATGCACCATCACAGAAGTCAAAGTATTTAAATCATTTATATGACCGTCATTTCTTTCAATACTTGCAGTTTTTAATGTTTGTAAGCCACGCACAACACTTACAGAGACACCTTCTGATATTAACTTGTTACAAATAAAACACAAATCAGCCATTGCAATTAAAAATATTCACTCAAAATTATACGTCTGTCTATGCTAAGATGTCGTTTTCAACTGAACGATAAAATAAATTTTTTTCGGTAAAGAAATACTAACGCAGAGAAATAGCTCTACCCTACCATTCCCATCATCAAGTGAAATATCCCTCCACCGCTATTGTGCGTATATACATAGAAGTCCCAAACTCATTCGCGACGGTGTGTAGAAAGTCATATTAAAAAAACCGGTTAGGTCATATATAACAAAGGAGCATCTGTCATAAAGTGTAAGGGAAACGAGATATTTGCAGAAAACTCATTTTCGTGACCTTAGACCTTTAATATCTTGAGTCGCGGACACGTGATTATATGAGACTTTTGAGGTAAGTTTTATACCATCAAAATAAAGACGTATGCAAATTTTCAGCTTATTATCTTTCATTCCGAGGTTTGCCCCCTTTTTTGCCTTATTTTACTGGATTATAAGACCTTACCTGGATGAGGAATATCGTGGTAGATGGATTGGACGACGAGGTACGACAGAATGGCCAGCTTGGTCACCAGACCTCACCCCATCAGATTTTTTTTGTGGGGATACTTGAAATCTAAAGTTTACGCTACAGCAACCGACAATATTGATATTTTGAACCAACGAATTCTTGAAGAATGTAGGGCGATTTCCCCCGACACATTTGAACGAGTACGGCAAGAGTTTAGAAATAGGATGCATTATTGTCAGGAAATATACAGGGTGGTGAATTGTCAAACGGGCCATAGGAAACTCAATGGAAAATTCTAAATTATTTAATTCCTGCTTCCCTAATTATTTTACACCAAAAGTCATGAGAAACTATTTGTAGAGGACTCAAATATGTATCGAAAACAATTGTTAAAATTCTTCTACGACTTAAACGTATTCCAAAATTTTGCTAAAATATAATACATTTTTCAGGCCACCCCTAAAAGTCAGGCCAGACGCCGTGAAAAAAATGTGTATTACGTGTTGCGTTTTGTCATATTGACGTTTCTAATATTTGACAATATTTAAATCAACTATATTATATTTATCTATGATTTAAATAGCCAAAATTTTGTGATTTATTATTTAAAAGAAAAATTAAGTTGATTAAAAAATGTACTTAGTTAAGGAGAAAAGAGCAATAATAAAAATGTTTTATTCATGTTTTATTATAACATTTGTTATAGTTTTATGTTTAGAAATTATCATTGATCTTTATTCCTAATAATAATATATGATAATTTCTAAACATAAAACTATAACAAATGTTATAATAAAACATGAATAAAACATTTTTATTATTGCTCTTTTTTCCTTAACTAAGTACATTTTTTAATCAACTTAATTTTTCTTTTAAATAATAAACACAAAATTTTGGCTATTTAAATCATAGATAAATATAATATAGTTGATTTAAATATTGTCAAATATTAGAAACGTCAATATGACAAAACGCAACACGTAATACACATTTTTTTCACGGCGGCGTCTGGTCTGACTTTTAGGGTGACCTGAAAAATGTATTATATTTTAGCTACAGTATTTTAGTAACAGTATATTGGAATTCATTGAATTGTTGTATAACTTAACTTAACATGGAATCAAATTTTAGTGTATTAGAATATCTTACGTTAAATAAAGATCCGGTGTGACAGGAAAAGGTTCGCGCTATTGCCTGAATACAACATTATGCGATTTTTCGTCAACTGAGTACATTTCATTATATTGATCGATTTGTAAACAATATAATTTATTTGTTCACAAAGTAATATTGTTCAGTAGTAGTAGTATTTAGTAAAATTCATTGTTTATAATTTAATCATAAAATAAAAAAAATTGACAATTCAAATTGTCAAACATCTGACATCAATATGATAAAACAACACAACGTTATAATATATTCTTGTATTACGTGTGGCCTAACTTTTAGGGGTGGTCTGAAAAATCTATTATATTTTTGCAAAATTTTGAAGTACATTTGATTCGTAGAACGGTTTTAACATTTGTTTTTAATTCAGATTTTAGTTCTCTACAAATAGTTTTTTATGACTTTTGATCTAAAATAATTAGGGAAGCAGCAATTCAACAATTTAAAATTTCCCATTGAGTTTCCTATGGCCCGTTTGACGATTCACCACACGGTATGGGGCACATTTTGTACAGTTACTATAAGAACTGGTTGTTAAATATTTATCAATTAAGGGAGAAACTACAATTTTAGTATTTATTTAATTTATTCATCAAAATAAGCTTAAACTCAAACAACATTATTATGACTGAATAGGCATTTTCAATACCTTTCAAACGAGGTATCACTTGCCATAAGGTCCCATTTAAAATAATCTGTCACAGTTCTGGCGCTGTAACGTCATCTGTCACTATTACGTCACCTGTTATGACTAGTTGAGAAGCCTACGTCTGTTTATTAGCTCCCTCCAAATTTCACTATAATAACAATAACCGTTCAAAAGATACGAGGGGGGAACGGACTTTTGACTAGCACTGTATAATAAATACGTGTGTATCCCATTTAATAATTACAATAAGGTCGGTGGCTCAAATTCGGACACATTTATACTTTCATGTTTCATTTTATTTAATAGCTAATGCTTATTGAGTAACATTCAAGTTTCAGTTTCAGTTTTATTGAATTAATAATTACTTTTAAGGGAATATGACCAATTATTAATTTTAAAACTTCGATAAGTTAATTTAATTTTTATATTTATTATAAACATGCAAAAATCACCTTATTCCGACATTAAGAGTGCAGTTTGTTCCAAAGTCAGACATGTCAGTTAAACCAATTCTGTCACTGTGTTTTGTTCTAAAATGATTAACACCTTAAATTATTTTAAAAGTCTGTATAAAGACGGTAAATAGTTCTGTATAAATTATGCATAGCTATTAGGCCTATATACATACTTATATACATATACATACTTAAAAAATTTGTTAAAATCCTTTATAAAAGGTATATAAAATTGCCTCAAACGGGCTATCACAAACACATTGCAAAACGTTTTCGTATTAAACAATCCATCATAAGTGCAAACCTGAAAGTATATAACCACTTTAATTAAAAAGAACGTTAAATGAAAATGTTGACAAAGGTTAGAGCAAAATGTGGTTAATACTTACGGTTGTACATGCTAGTAGCCACCAAAATATATGGGTAAAAACCCTTTAAATGTTATAAATTTGAAATAGTTTTACATTATTAGTGTTTCTAATTTGTGATGGTTAAGTTACCGTTGGATAGGTAACATGGCGGCGTATGACTCTACATGAGTAAAATGGTCCTGAGACGAAGTGCCTACGAGGACCTGTTGATAACAACTGATTATAATGACATTGTTGACAAGTTAGGACGGATGTTGTGTCAGAGCAGTCAGTGTAACTTACGGTAGTTGTCTAAAATTGACAGATGTCAGCCTTATTTAAAATTAAAAAAGTTAAAATTATAATAATGTAACAGTATCAACCATCAATATTGTAATCTGTATTGTAAATTAATCAGATAGGTATATTTGTAACATTGAAAATTGGTTTTTTAAAAATTAATGTAGGTCAACTAGAATTTATGAAATTTTGTGGGATTGATAGGCAACCAACTATACATGTGTAAGGATATATTTATTTTAAGCTAGAGATTTTGTCAAAAGGCCCTGTATGTTGTGAGACATTTGGTACCTAGAAAATGGTAAAAAGACACATGTGGGAAGATGGGTCCTAAAAGATATATTATTGAGTATTGATGTAAAAGGTGGAAGTGTGTTTAGATCTGTTATTGAGCTGAAATGTAAATATGACAAGAATGTGATCATAATATGGTGTTCATGTAGTACTCAACTTAAAACTTAAGTATGGAAGGCCCTTTATGTCAAAAAACTACATTTGGTACCTAGTAAAGATAAATAAAATAGATTTTTAAGTTATAAGTAAGTAAACATGAATTACTGGTTATGTGTGTAAAGTAAAGATGGTAGGTTGTTTATGTGTGTGGGCAAGTATGCCAGACTGAAAGAAATTTGATGGCTGAAAGATGGTTAGGTGTGATATTGTTCCTACATTGCTCGAGTTATAACTCAAGAAAACAAAAGGCCCTATATGTTAAAAGAAACATTTGGTACCTAAGAAATATAAAAGTAAAAAGGATGAGTTATAAGTTAGAGTGTAGGTAGGTGAAAAGTTAACAGGCTTATGGAGTGTATTGTGACAATATGTGGAAATGTAAGAGTAATTGTGTTTAAGGTGGATCTGTCAAGTTTACTAAAGATGTGTGATGTTTAAATGTTATTGTGAAGATGAATGGGAAAACTACAAAAGACTGAGGACCACAGAGACCCGAAAACCAAACCCTGAGGGAAATTGGATGAGTGAAAAGAAGTTGTAAATGATAATGAAAAACGCAGTATGAAAAGGTGAAGATATGTGATTGAGTGGGTGATGGTGTATATTAATGAAAATTGTTTTTGGAGAGAATGTGGCATGAACTGCTCTGAAATTATTTTGTTGGGAAGGAGCATGGAGAATATTGGTTATTAGGTCAGATTTGACGTTTGGATGCCTAGACAGAAGTGAGGAAAGAAGAGAAAGAAGTGAGGAGTTGGATATATTGAACAAAGTTTGAGGGGGCTAAGGATGATTAGTAGGTGATAAGAGAAGGATGAGAATTTAAATAATAATGAAGAAGTAAGTTTGATAATAAGTTATGAGAATAATTGACGGTGGAGCGGAAGAAAGTCTCGATTAAATGAAACATGGCGATTGACACAATTTGGACTTCTCTGTTTTTGACATAAAGGGCCTTCCATAATTAAGTTTTAAGTTGAGTACTACATGAACACCATATTATGATCACATTCTTGTCATATTTACATTTCAGCTCAATAACAGATCTAAACACACTTCCACCTTTTACATCAATACTCAATAATATATCTTTTAGGACCCATCTTCCCACATGTGTCTTTTTACCATTTTCTAGGTACCAA